AATATATTTTTTTGTATTAAATATTTATAATATTTTGATTTTTGATTAAAGATATTTGATTTAAATATAAGTATTTTATTTTTTTGTTAATATTAAAAGTACTAGAATATATAGTTACAATTATAGAAATATTAATATCTTTTATTTATAGTTAATAATTCTTATTAGTTTAATTACTATTACAAGTTTGTTCATTAATAATTAAATTAGCTTACAAATGAGAACCTGAATTGAAAGAGGGTATAAATTGATAAAAAAATATTAAGAGAGAAAAGAGATATCTAAGATCTATATCAATTTTCACAGAAATTGTGTTTATCTAAAAAGAAGTAATGATGTGGGAGAGTTGTGAAAGAGTAAAGATCAAAGAGAAAAAAGAATAAAAGAATAATAAAAAAGATTTGAAGAGGAATTCTATACTAGCGTAAAGCTTCTTAGAACTAAAGGTAATATGATTAGTAATAATAGTAACAAAGACTCTTTCACTTTGTTCTTCTCACAAGTGAGAAATATTCGTTAATAATTAAAAATTCAAATAACAAAAAGTAAAATACTTATAAATTCAATTTCAATAATTTTCAATATAGTGATTTGTTTAGCACAATATGATATAAAGCTCAATAATTCAATAAAAGTGATTTGTTCGACACAATACAATATAAAGCTCAAAGTTAATAACAATAATTTGCTCAGTGCAATATAATATAAAGCTATCAGCAATTTGATAAATTCAATATGATATAAGATCACTTATACACAAGATTTGAAGTGTATAAAGAAAATATGAGAGATAGAAAGTATTTAGAGAAAGTTTTTTTGTTAAGAGAGGTTTTTATTTTTAGTTACAACATATTTTTCAATTTACAACATGTCAAATTAAGACTCAGACAGTACCTCTATTTATATATTTTTTGAAAATACAATTTTAAAATATAGTAATTAATTAAAATAAGTTAATTTGATAAAAGAATAAAACAAATGATAAAAATAATTAAAAAATGACAAAAAGTAATCAAAAATGATGAAAAGTAATTAAAAATGATGAAAAATAATCAGAAAATGATGAAATATAATCAGAAAATGATGAAAAGAAATTAAAAATAATGAAAAGTAATTAGAAATGTAATTAAAAATAATAAAAAGTAATTAAAAAATGATGAAAAGTAATTAAAAATGATGAAAAGTAATTAAAAATGATGAAAAGTAATTAAAAATGATGAAAAGTAATCAAAAATAATGAAAAGTAATTAAAAATAATGAAAAGTAATTAGAAAATGATGAAAAGTAATTGAAAAATAATGAAATGTAATCAAAAAATGATGAAAAAAAATTGAAAATGATGAGAAGTAATTAAAATGATGAAAAGTAATTAGCTAAATTCATATACTTTTCAGAAGATAATTTTATATATTATGTATTTATATATTTTTTATAAAGAAATAATATCTTTAGAAATTAAAAAAAGAAATAATATCTTTAGAAATTAAAATGTTTTATATATATCTTTTTCAAATTCTCTATTAATAGCTGGTATAACTTTATTATTGTTAAGTTATAAATCACTTGCAGATTAGTATTCATATTGTGATGTATTAATTTTATTATATATAATATAATTTTATATTATTTAAGTAATACATTAAATAAATTCTATATAATTTTTTGCTAATTTAAATTATAATAACTTATATAATTAAATTTATATATAATTATATTATTTGAATATTAAAAAAAATAATTATATTAAATTGTATTTATATAAAGATATTTTTTATAAGTTTTATATTAATTAATTTAAAAATATATAACTATAAAAAATTTGTACTTATAAAAAGTATTTTTATATAATTGAATTTAATATATATATAATTATATTAAGATTTTATATAATATACTTATATCAAATATAATTATATAAAGATATGATTATAAACTTAAAAAAATAAAATTATAATTAATAAATTTGAATAAGTATAAGAAATAGTTTAGAATATAATAAATAAAATTTAGAATATAATATAAATATGCAAATTATTAAAATTTAAATTATAAAAATAGTTTAGAATATAATAAATAAAATTTAAATTATAATATAAATATATAAATTATTAAAATTTAAATTATTTAATTAAATTTATTTTTTTCTAGTTGCAATATTAAGAAAAATTCTTATTTAATATTATAAAAGATTATTTATGTAAATTTTGAATATTTAAACTTTTATTTATTTTTATTAATTATTTTATAATACACACTCCTATACTAGATTATCGAAAATTAAAAAAAAATAGTAAAATATAGTAAAATTAATATTATTACTTTATATAAAATTTGTTATTTTATTAATAGAATAACAAATTTTAATATAAAGTAATAATGTTAATTTTATTATATTTTACTATTGTTACAATAATAACATAAAGATCATTAATTTCAAAAATAATTGAAAAATATAAAATATTTAAAAATATTCATATACTAACAAAAATTCTTCTAAACTAATATAATAATCAGTATACATAAAAAAATAAAATATTATACCTTTGGTTTTTGATTATCTGATTTGTAAAATAAAAGGGAGTATTTTGATAAATGAAAGTATTGTAATGTTTTTAATTGTAAAAAATTAACAATATTTTTTTAAATATAAATATATACAAGTCTTAATATATATTGACAATATTATCATCATATTTTATCTTTTTTATTTGTGTTTTCATTTATTTTTTAATTCTTTTCATTCATTAAAAGATCATTTTCACCTTATATACTGTATTAATAATTTTTTTGATTACAAGCAAAAAAAGCTAAGTTTTGTGATATTTTTTTATTTCTTACTTTGGCTGTAATGAATTATTTATAGTTTTTACTGTGTTGGTTGACTATTGGTTACACTTAATTTTCACTGATTACTTTGGATGAGTTTACTATAGTGCTAACTGTTGGTTTTGTTCATCACTTTTGTGAGCTTGAAGTTAGAGTTAGCTATTGATTTTACTTAGTTTCATTATTTGTTTTTGTATCAGTTACTATTGGTTATTAGAAAGTAAGAGAAAAATAATATATGTATATTGTTGCAAGTACATTGTAATTAGGCATAATTAAAGATTTTATCTACAATAATTGAAGAGGAGAAAAGTGTATAGATTGATTTGTACTCGTCCATTATCTAGTTCCTATATCGATATCTATAGATATTGTTTGGTTTAGTAATATTAGAGAGGCTTTACAAGAATTTGTATTTATATAAGAGAATTTTGGGAGAGTTGGTTTTCTTTAATTTTAAGTAATAGTTTACTTCTATTAACAATATTTAATAATAACAATTGCTTTTTCTAGACAAACTATTCTACACAATGCATTTTATTATCAATCAATATGCCATTTAATCAATAACAATACCTTTTCTGAATTAAAGAACTTAACCATTAATCATTTTAATCTTTTAACAAAGCTATACTACGGAATAAAAGAATTATATATAATTATTTTGTTTTACAAGAGTTATGTTACTTTGAGAAGAATTGTACACAATTAATTCTGCATTTTTATTGACATTTGTGAGGACCATATATACATTTTGATTTTTACATTGTAGAGTAAGCGTATTGCTCTAAATTCTATTACTATGTATACTATTGAAGAGAGAGAACTTTTTAAGAAAAAGAAAATAAAGTAAAATCAATCAAAAGTGAAATCATGATTATAATCAGGTGTGGAGTGAAAGCGAAATGAAATAATGAAAAACGGAAAACGAATTCGAATAAAAGTGGAAAATTGGTGATGAAGTCGAAAGCGAAAAACGTGAAGACGCTGATCTAAAGATCAGTCAATAACGAACAACAGGTGATAATGAAAGCGAAAGATGGATGAAAAAGATAAAACAAGTAATAAAAAATGAGCTATCAATCAAATGTGAAAGCGAAAAACGTAAACATAAAAAAAAAGTGAAATATGGGAACAATTAAAAGTGAAAAATGGGAAAATAATCAAAAGTGAAAAATGTATAGATGAAAAGTGAATTTTGTAAATGAATTACCTTTTTTGGAAAGAGGAAAACAGGAGTCGATTTAAAATAGGAAGGATGGGACATTACACTAAGGAGCTCGGATAATCGAAATGACTTGTTGGGATCGGGCTCCTTCAGAAATTACAAGATCAATGAAATTTGTTATACTTCAGTAACAATATCAATATGCAATTTTTTAAATAATTGTTAATAAAGATAATTTAATAAATAATAATAATTTAAATTTACATGTTAATTTACCGATTTTTATCGTTGTAGACTTATTTGCCTGTAATTTAGTATCGGTATGTAAATCCTCTCATTCCAGGTATTTTTCTGTCCTGTTAATTTTACATGGTAGTTTTTTGGGGTTTTAAGCCTATAATCGATCGCTTTTCTACGGGTGTATTTACACGTAAATTCGTTTGAATTATATGTTTTCTAATTTTACGTGGTTTTATGAATAAATTTAGGAGTCACTTGTATATGTTTGGCGTGTGCATTATCATTATACATGCTGTAAAATTTGTAGCGTACAGTCAATATACTATTCGATTATCCGAAGTATCAGTACATCTATTTTATGGTCATATGTTCTGTAGCCGCCATTTAGGCTATTAACTGTTATCAAATAACTATAAACATTGTTGCTAACAGTAAATAGCCCACAGAAAGATACAACCATAAAATGGGTGTGCTGATATTGAGTGTAATAAAGTAGTATTGTCACAGGACATAGTTAGCACAGTTGGGACTTAGTAGGGACGAAACAATTTCAAAAATGCATGGGACATAGCAGAATACTGCTAATATTAAGGGTTCTTTATAGATGGGACCATAACCAACATACAATATATAGAAAATAAAAAGGACTTTATTGAAATATTGCCTTTATTTATAAAGTTTGCATTTATAAAAACCAATATCAATAAGTATCAAAATTTTATATCCAAATTACTAACGCTAATAAAAAAAATAATGGATGCAATTTTTAATTTCTAACACCTCCATAACGATCTCCACGATCTCCTCGACGACCTCCATAACGATATCCTCGACGACCTCCATAACGATCTCCTCGACGACCTCCATAACGATCTCCTCGACGACCTCCATAACGATCTCCTCGACGACCTCCATAACGATCTCCTCGACGACCTCCATAACGATCCCCTCGACGATCACCGCGATGTCGATTAGATTCAATATCAGAAATATCTTTTATTTACATAAAAGTTAATTAAAGAAAATAAAAAAAAGCAATTTTTGCATTATTCAAATCACCTTCATCTGGTAATAGGGCTGGGTCTGCAGATTCGTAAAGCCCTATTTCATCATTATCTAGATCGATGGGGTAGGAAAATGGAAGATCGATTTTATTATTGATATTTACATCAGGAGTAGTTTGATTTTCAACGAATTCGACTTCATTATCAAAATTGGGTGTCATTGTCACGGGTGATGCGTCGTTGAAGCATATTCCCGCGGTGAAATAAATTACAAGAGTAAGGGAAAAGAATTTGATAGGATTCATTGTGCTGAAATTAGATTTTAGACAGTTTTAATTTATATGTTAAGATTTGTAGGTAATTTGATGGAAGAAGTGGAAATATGCGTTGGTTATATAGTTGCTAAAAGAGCATTAATCAAAAAAAAATCTTTTGCTGTTTTAATTATTTTGCCATTTTTAATGCTTGCCGTTTTGATTATTTTGCCTTTTTACTCCTAGTTATTTTATCTGTACACATTGATATATTTGTTGTAATCGAGACTTTTTGATAGATTATCGTTATGCATATATTACTTCGTCAAGTAATTATACGACGACAATTTATTCATATATTATCGCAGTTTTGCAAAAAAAAAAAAAAAAGATACCAAAATCATTTTTAATAAATAGAATAATAAATGGCTAGAAATAAGAAAGTCTAATTACAAAATGTTCACGCACTTATTTTTCATAGATCCCTGCCCTTTAGGTCTCGACTTTAGTCGAGAGTGAAATCTGACCCTACTTCGCAAGGTAATGACCTACCTGTAGTGATAATGCCGTATAGATAGTCGAAGTCTTCGTCGAAAGCTTCAACCGCCTTCCGTTTTTTCTTGTTTGCGTCTTCACATTATATTTTGCGCAAAACCTGCAACCAAATCCTTTGCTTCCTTTCGGTGATAGCCAACAGTTCTTATAATTTTCATTATTTCTTAATCGTATAATCACCTATCACTTCAAATTGAGGATTTCTGTGGCAGTGTGGAGGGCTGTATGAAGAATTGCCTCGGTATGTGAACCAAGTTAGCCATTTTAAATTAACGAGGTCTATACAATACTGTTCATTGTTGTCATCGATTTTCACCGTTTTGTAAAAAATCTTTTTCTTCGTTATCTTTTATAAGTGACAAGTAGAGAGATACACCATTTTTTTCTCGCTTTCGTTAAAGACAAATCTTTACTCAGTGAAGCTTCGAGCTTTTTGACTAAGAAGGATTTTCTATTGGAAACAAATAACTTACCTAGTTTGAATGCGATACTTCTTATTTCGTCGCTATAAATTTTATACGTCTAGCAAGTCTTTTGGATATCTGTATGACGAATACGATCTTAATTTCCGTTTCTTGAGATCCTTAACGAAGTTCGCAAGATCTGACGCAGGTTCTATTTACATAAACTCTTTTTTTGTCATATTAAGAAAGGCACGACCCGTAATTTTTTGCTTGCGAATAATTTCCAAATCACCCTCGTCAAGTTCCAAGTCTTCCTTCCGCAAAAAGTCAATGAGCTCATTCGTTTTAAATTTTTTGACTACTGCAAACGTGAGTTCTGGTTTTGCCTCAGTTACTGTAGTAGAGGCAGAAGTGTGAGTTGACGCAGTTGTCGTTGTTGCATTTATAGATTTTTTGTTTGCAAAAGATGGGTTCGATGCACAATGAAAAGTACCTATGCAAAGAAGTGAAAATTTTGTTGTCTCTATTTTTTGTGAGATCAGTGAGAAAATTATTATGCACACATAATCAGGGATCCAGTTTCTCTTAATGCACCCCGAAAAATTCTTAATGTTAATTAATGCTAAAGATTGATTCTGAGGTCAGGATCAGCGTTAGAGCTGGAGATAAGATGATATGCAAAATCGCCTCCCCAACGTTTTAATTAGTTCATCAAGTTAGATTTAGGCATCTGCTTTCCGTATTTTTCACTTGTTTGCATTTGCTTGCTCTGGATTTGTTTTGCCGGGCTGATCAAAATCTATGCATCTTATTAGTCTGTGTGGCACGGTACGAACAATTTTTCGGGTGCACCTAAAGCATTTACTAATTTTCTGATTGGACCAGGTAAATCCATCGTTAATTGAATAAAGACACAAAACAAATCCGACACAAGAACATAAAAAATGGAAGCATATGGGGTGAAGTCAATAAAAAAGGAACACTTTTCTATCGACTTCACCCCATGTGTTTAAATCTAGCTTGGCACACTAATAAAAATATCGGAAAAGCAATTTTACATATAATCTTGTTCTCTATTCTAATTTTGACACTGACTCTGCTGGTTGCTTAAATTGTTTAACATTCAATTAGCAATGGATTCATTCAAAATTTGGAAGGAAAAACCTCTTGGAATAGTTACTTCTTCTTCTTTTATATAATGATCATATTTGCACATGTGATATTTTTGAAAAGGTCAATTTGTTCTTTGCATTATTAACTTTTGTTGTAATTCTTTTGGAGCTTTTTGCATTTTACAATGAAAAATTTTTCTGGAATCTTTCTTTCATTGTTAGATTATATTCATAAACTGAATTGGAATTAAATGAATCGAACTCAAACTTTATCTCAAATTCTTTGGAATGAGCTTTGATATACTATCTCTTATATAATCAAAACTGGTTATTCTTTAAACCATCTTGTTTAGTAGGCAAATTTGCCTGCTAAAATATCATAACTTTATATTTTCACCAAACATTAAAATATTTAAAAAAAGTTGTTTAATATTAGTTTTAATTATATCTTATATAATAGTTTCACTTTTTTAACAATTATAAAAAATATAGTTGTTTATAAAGATGGCATGGCAACTGTTGCAACGTGGTGACAAATAAAGCATCACCTAGTTGCAACTAGTTGCAGCTTATAAAATTTTGGAGTTGCAACGTGTTGCAACAGGTGACAAATAAGCGTCACGTACTTGCTGCGCCATCTCTAGTTGTTTATGAATTAAAAATAAGTAATTTTAAAAAATTTTATTATTAGTCTTAAATTTTAAAAATATTTTATAATAAAATTACAGAATTGATTACAAAATAAATCAAATATTTTGAGAAATTTATAAATAAAAATTACAAATTTTAGATTATACTAATTAAAAATCGGCTATATTTTTATTTTAGCTTAGAAAGAGGGAATTAAGCTTATAAAAATTAGGTATAAATATACAAAAATTAGTTAAAAAAATTTTAGTAAGCAAATTTGCCTACTGGATAATTTAAGGAATATCAATTTTTGAATATAATAATTTTATTAATGAATTTAATCTTATATCAAAATTCATGTAAAAAAAACTATCCAAAATATTTTTATATATATGAAATTTATTGCATCTTGCATGTTTATATACTCTTGTAATTTTGTATACTTTACCTTTTTTATAAAATATATATATTTGTATAGCTTTTATCAATTATATGTATTATTAATAATTTAAATTATTTATATAAGGGAACTGAGGGTATTATGACGAAGGAGGGTATTATGACGAAATAGCGATATCTCGATCTCCAGTGATCGGAATCGCACGAAAATGCCACCATTTGATTCGTCGCAACGAGACAAATCGAATGGTTGCATTTTCGTGAGATTCCGATCACTGGAGATCGAGATATCGCCACCGAAAGTCACAGTGTTCAAGAAAAATAAATTTTCGGGTGACGATCCGCGTTCGGTGAATTTCGGTGGCGATATCTCGATCCTTAGTGATCGGAATCCCACGAAAATACCACCATTCGATTCGTCTCGTTGCTGCGAATCTAATGGTGGTATTTTCGTGGGATTCCGATCAATAGGGATCGAGATATCACATATTTTTACTTTAGTTCGTCATAATACCCACACAACTAAAATTTTAAAAAATGTCAAATTTTGTTCTATATATTATTTGTAATGTCATCATATTTTTTACTAGGTTTATGTAGAATTAATTATGCTTTTTAGCCATAATAAATGTTCTAAATATTTGTTGTTTATAAAAGATTTTTCCTAATTTTAATATTAACTTCGCCATAATACCCTCACTTCCCTTATTATTCAAAGTGTTATACTAGTAAAATTAATTTTTTGAAGTATTCAAAGTATTAATAATACTCAAAAAGTTAAATAACAATTTTAGATGATAGTTTGATAGCTAGTAGTCAGATTTATATAAAATATTATTGTTAAATTTATATTAATTAGATATATATCAAATAGAACATGTAATATAAAATTAAATATAGATATAATTTCTTTTAAATTTTATAAAAAAGCAAAATATAGCAATTAATTTATTTAATGACTTGATTAACTTATAATAATTTACTATATAATTGCAAATATAGTTATAATATTAATTAATAAAGAATTACTAATAGATAACTTTTGATAAATAAATGATATAATTAATATTTTTTATAATTTAATAGTTTTTTGTTTTAAATATTTTTATTTTTGATAACTTCTCAAATTCAGTAAATCATTATTATATTATTAATTGAAAAATCTTTATATATGGTAAAAGTTATTAATTACAAAAAAACTTATAATTTGATAGAAGTATAATTATGATAAATTCAGATAATATTTTGTTTAATACTATTATATTGAATAAATTACTCATTTAATCAAAATGCTAAATATCAAAATATTACTATTGATATCATAATATTAGTAGAGTTTTAAATATTTTTAGTATTTAATAATAATGATTATTTTTTATTATTATTATTATACTAAAAAATAATAAAGTAATAATTTATTATTAGATGCTGCAGTAATTAATAAATCTGATACAGATTTGTGCTTATATCAATATATAGAAAATAATAGAAATGTAACTAGAGAATAAATATTTTGTCTAAAAGATTTTAAATACATATTTAGAGATATTAATCAATCTCAAATAATTTAATAATTTTATACAAATTACTAAATTTAGATATACTTTTTTTCTTATAAATTACTAATTAAATATTTTATAATAATATTTTAATATAACTTATTAAAATAAATAATAAAATATCTTAAAAGATTAAAATTCTTTAAAATATAGAATTTTGAAATAATTCCAAAACTAAAACAATTACAAGAAAATTGTTAATTTTGAAGATAATTTTATTTTATAGACTATTAATAAAATTTATTAATAATGATATTTTTATTTTAAAAAGAATTATTTACTATAATTAAAACAATTTGATTTATCTAAAATTAGTAATTTTCAAAATTATTAGAATCTGGTTAATATTTTTATATATATATTATATAAGTGAATTCTGAATCTGCTAATATTTAATTTTATTAATATTTAATTTCACTTATAATATATAGTATTGTTACCGTAGTAACATAAATTTCTCTAATTCAATAATCTTTCTTTGATTATGCGAAATTCCCTTTTTCTTAAT